CTGTAGCTGAGCTGCTGGCGCTGCAGGAAGGGATGCAGGTAGTAGAGCAGGTGGTGCAGGTGCCTCTCCTGGTTCCTGTAGGCCACCAGGATGGCTGATTTGTGGTGGGCCAAGCAGTGAGGGGGCCGGTAGCGGCCACCAGCCTGAACAAAGGGGTTCTTCTGGATGATGGTTCGCTCGTTAGGGGGCACCCTGAAGGTGATGGTCAGTGGGCCCACTAAGGGAAGAGAAGAAGGGGAAAAGGAAGGTCAGTGATATTTCTTAACCTCCACTCAAGCCTGTCAGAGGAGGTGCATAGGCTTGCTGCTTAGGACAGCTCCAGCAGGCAGCCGTGCTCAGTGGGGAGCTCCCCACTGCCTGCTGCCCCCTCCCCACAGCAGCACAGGGCCCAGCACTGCCATGGGCTCCTCAGGAGCAAGCCCGAGGGAGAAAGACCAAACACTCAGGTCTCGTGTTCAGTAGCTTTCATCAGAGCTGCACGTCAGGCAGGAGCACCCAGAACTCTGCTCCCAGGTGTCCCACAGAGCTCAGGCAGGGCAGCGAGCCTGCCTGCACCCACATCCTGCTGAGCTGACTCAAGAGGAAGCCACACCCCCCGGCTGGGGTTTGGGTCTTGTCTCTTCTGACTGGTGACAAGGCTTAGGCAGTAAGTCTGGCAGCAGAGTCACTGTGCCTCCAGCACTGGCACACTCTGCCAGCCTGTGGCACTGGCACACCCACCTCACCTCCAGGGGCACAGCACAGGTGGCAGGTGTCCCCTCCCTCCCCAGGGAGCACACAGCAGCACTGCCTGAGGGACAGCCCCGGGCCCACCCCCCAGCTGCCAGCAGTCCCACTTCATGGCGCTTGCTGGCTGGTTGGTTGGCTGTTTTTCAAAGGAAAACCTGAATTTTGCTTGTCAGCAAGACCTTGCTGTCTCCTGCCTACCCCTTCCCAGTCCTCCCCCAGCATCTGAGCTGCTGTGAGAGCTGGGTCTGGGCTGTGTGGCCCCCAGCAGGCAGCTGGGGATGCTGCCACAGCCCTGTCCCTGCAGCAGAAGAGCAATTCTTCAGAGAATCCTGCTGTGAGCCCACGGATCCGGGTCACATATGCTGCTCAGATTTTATGATGTTATTACCTGCTTCTATGCAGAGTGTCCTGTTCTGCCTTTACAATCACCACATTTCAGTGCCAGCATGGTTTAAATCTGTAATTTATGCTCCTTTTTAGATTTATGAACTCCCTGATTATCAGATCTTTCAACTAAAGCACCATTAGCCACTGATTTGACACCAACTGGAGCTGGCTAAAGAAATGTTACATCCAGACTGGATTTCAAGGACAGCTCATTGCTCCAAGGGAAATACCAGAAGGGGAATTGATCCCCTTTGCTCCCCCACAAGGGCAGGGCTTGTTCTCTGCAGTGCAGTCGGGGCAGAGTAAGATCCTACAGTGATAATCTTTAATTTCAAACAAATCCAAGTCTGAATTCAGACAGAGGGCTGTGAGTACAGTAACGTGCTATGGTTTCACTTCTGTTGCCTCCTTCCACACCCAAGGGTCTGATTCATGGAGGCAGTGCCAGCATTTCTCAGGCTTTTCAGGATGTCACGTTCTCCCAAGACACTTGGCTCCATCCCTCACTCAGCCCAGAAAATCTGCTGTGTGTGCAGGTAACAGCAAGAGGAGTCAGTCTGTGACTTACACCCCAGACCTCTGGCTGCTGCACACGCCTTGGCTACAAGCTGAATTCTGCCCCTCAGGTCTCCTTCCTGCCCAGCTAACCAAGGGCTCCTGCAGGGAACCCAGTGACACCTCAGATGGGAGAGAGCAGTTGCAGGCTGAACCCCAGGGAGAAGGATACAACTGCTGAAGTGTGGCTCTGGGAAAGGAGAAAACCCATCCTGGACATGCTGGAAAGCAGAGGATCCTGCTGCAGAGCAGGCACAGAATCAGCACCCTGGCACAGCCAAGCAGCTTCTCCTCAGCCTGGTCCCTGTGTCTCTCCCTCACATGGAGGGTGTTTAATTAACACGAAACTTTAATGAGTGGAACTAAACCCTCACAGTTCCACACCTTTGAGAGCACACTCCTGCTTGCTTCACCCCCCAGGCAACACGTTTGTCAGGGGGATCTACTGATTTTGAGCAGATCTAGCCCATTGTGGGAAAGAAACTACACGACTTCCAACCCCTTGCCACGCATCCAGAGTTCACAGCCATGGCTACTGAGTTCAACCAGCACGAGCAGAACTTGCACGGGCTGGAGGGGCACCAGCAGCAGCATGGATGGATGGATACCCCCCTCAGACACTGCAGCACCACAGGACAGCCAGATCTGGGTAACTGCCACTGAATGAGAGAAAAGAAAGCAGACCAAGAGCCTTCATTAAGCACCAGTTTCTAATGGCAGAGTACAGGACTGCCTCAACTGCAGCTGGAAATAAACCTCAGCATTGCTGCCTTTTTAATCACTGCTAAAGCCAAGAGAAGCAGCTCAGCAGGAGAGGATCCATTAAGGAATGCAGTAGGAGCTACTCAGTACCACCACAGATGGTCGTGCTCACCAAAAGGTTATGGCAGATGGGACTGGAAGGAGTCACTACTCCAGGAAGGGCCTGCAGAGGAAGTCTGGCACAGCACAAGCACATCATCAACAGCACCTACAGACAGAACTCCAGCTCCTGATGTCATCAGGGCCAAACCAACTCGTTCAGCACACACCACATGTGAGGTAAGGTGCTTCTTTGGAAAAAAACCCCACAAAATAAAAAGCCCCAAGTCTTCCTGCATCAAGCTTCTTCCTAGCAAGAAGAAAAGATGAAGTGAAACAACACACTGTGAGCAACGTGAGAGAAAGGCAGATTTGGAATGTAAATGCTACTTCTGTCTGTGAACAAGCACAACTCTAACATGTAAACACTTTGCTGTTTCCAAAACCAGAGGAGGAGTAGGCAACTGGTTATTTGGGTAGGAACTTTAACCTTTCAGGGAGCTTGTGTGATTTATTCACACTACTGATGATGAGAACTAATATCCAGTGGTCAGTCACAAAAAGTACACTGGACACCACTGAGCATTATAAAATTGAGACAGTCAGGAGGAGTCTAGCTCTTCCAAAGCAGGAGCAGCAATTCCACCTCAGACCCTGCTCCACACCCCTGCCAGGACCAGGGTGCTGTAGAGTGAGGAGGTAGGAAAGAGGTGAGCTGGAAGCTGATCTCACCCCTGCACAGTTCCTGAGCTACCAGCTAGCTGCTGAAGTGGGAACAGCACTGCACCTCATGAGAGCCCCGAGGCAAAACCCACCAGAGGCACCTGCCACTCCTCCAGTTACTTCCTCACACCCTGGAGTGGGCACGGTGAGTTATTACCAGCTCTGAACTGCAGTCCTGGGGAACTGACTTCAAATCTCATTTAATGGAGTTTATGAAATTAATATTAAAAGGCATCATTCTTTCTGATTAACACTTCCAAGAGAGATCAGCCCCACGAGATGACAGCAGCCACGGAGACATCTCTCAAGTACTGATGGATCTCCTGCTGTGCCCAGGGAACACAGGGCAGGTCCCTGCAGGGCAGCAAGCCTTCCCCGGGGGAAACACAACCCACCAGCAGAAATGCTTCCTGTGCTCAGCTCCGAGTGTTTCCACACAGCAAAACTTACACGTTTACTCTGCCTTGGATCTCCTCCTTCCTCCCAGTCAAGTCACTGTTTGTTTCTATCCATAACTAACGTCACATTTTCATTTCAGCTCTGAAGTAGCACGTGGAGGGCAGGGACAGGCAGGAGAGGCCCCAGAAAGACTGCACAAGCTCTAGGAGCACTGACTAATGACATTTTACTGCCTGCATCCCCCCTACATGTCACTCACAACTCATGCTTACCTGCTGCACGGCAAGCTGCACAGAGCTGCATCTCATTTTGTCTGGGTTGCCTTTTTTTGAGACCAAGGCTTTCCCATTTGACTCTCTGTGACAGTGGATTCTTGGCAGCAGTGGAGGTGAGCAGGGTGTAGCCACACTTCTGCTGGGCTTTTTCAAGTAAAACAATTAAGTGTGAAACAGAACTGCAGCTTCCCAAACTAACTGACCGGCTGCAGCTAATGATTAACACGGGCTGCAGGAGAGCAGTGCAACTGGCACTGTGAGTGCTCCAGCTCTCAGCAGGGCTCTCTCCAAGGGAAAGGCTGAAGCTTACACCCAAAAGTTATCAGGCAGTTCTGTCATGTGTGCTGAAGGAAGGAGAGGAAGCTTCCCAAAAGAACAAGCACCGTTACAAAGACTGCAGCCTAAAAAGGCTCATCTGGAGCATCCCAGCTGAGGTCTCCAACCAAAGCGAGCAGCTTGTCAGAGGAGTAGCCACGGTGCTGGCCTCCCAGACACCTCCAGCTGCGGAGCAAGGGCAGCCATTTGCTCTCGCTGTGCCCCACGTGCAGCGATTTGCTCTCCCAGAGCAGCAGGGCAACTACAAACTGTGCTCCAAGCCTGGCCACCTGCCAGATTTAGAAATGCAGGAGCCCCTGCGGTAGGGCAAAACAGACCAGGGTCGTTTAGCACAGGGGACTCCGAACAGGAGGTGTCCCAGCCAGCTCCAAGTGCCTGCTGGCAGGACTCTGCTCCTGGCTGGCCGAGTGCAGCCGATTCACCCTCAGCAGAGGTGCACGGCTTTGCCACAGCCAGACTTGCTCTATGGACTTGATTTGGTCTTTACGTGGCTTCTCAGCTCTTTTAGCAGTGCAGTAGCTGGATTAATGCTGCCCCTAGGGTCTAATTCAGCCCTAGTGGAAATAGAAATTAACCTGTGACCAGACCTCACAGAAGTTTCTAAGTCTAAAGAACACATAACATAGGGCAGAAAGATCACCGTGAAGAGCAAAGTGCCAGGCTACACTCTCATACAAACGATATTTAAAGCCACATTTGCACTGAACTACACCCATGATAGAAGGCTGAGACAAGAACCCAGTGAGTCAAAATTATGCAGTTACCAAAGTACAATCACAGGCACATTTCATACAAGAACACCAAGGGAAAAGAGAAAAGTGTTACTAATTTTGCATTAACCACATGCACTGTTGTCACTGCTGTTTTATAATCTCTATGCAGCCAAATCCTGAATATTGGAACCTTTTAGATCCGTGAAATACTTTCCCTCATGGCACCAAGAAAGTTTTGTCATTTTAAGTACTACATCAAAATAACACTTTAAAAGAGAAAAGGTCTGAAAACCATACAGTTTATACTTGCAAGGTGCTTCGCCTTTTGGCCCAGCTCGGCAGCAGTGCAGACGCTCGGCTCGTACCTACCGAGGATGGGTGAGGGCGCCGAGCAGTAGGGCACGGGCTCTTCGGCGGCAGCCCGGCGGAACAGGCTCAGGTTGGTGTACACATCGTGAGTTCTCGAGTAGTCCAGAACCTGATGCGAGTCCAAAAAGCCACGAAACACGTTGGAAGGTCCCCCTCGGTAGAGTATGAGGATGAATATTGTTTGGAAGACAAACAGGAACAGGAGGAAACAAGGGTTTTCGGCGCGGGGAAGGGACATCGCTTTTAGCCCATGCTCTGGAATCAGGCCGGGGAGGAGCTCGGCTCGGGGCTGCCCCGCTGCGGTCAGA